CCAAATGACTCTCAGATAATCAAAGTAAACTGTCAATTACATGACTTACCCAATGACTCTTAGATAATCAAAGTAAACTGTCAATTACATGACTTACCAAATGACTCTCAGATAATCAAAGTAAACTGTCCATTACATGACTTACCAAATGACTCTCAGATAATCAAAGTAAACTGTCCATTACATGACTTACCAAATGACTCTCAGATAATCAAAGTAAACTGTCCATTACATGACTTACCAAATGACTCTCAGATAATCAAAGTAAACTGTCCATCACATGACTTACCCAATGACTCTCAAATAATCAAAGTAAACTGTCAATTACATGACTTACCCAATGACTCTTAGATAATCAAAGTAAACTGTCAATTACATGACTTACCCAAGGACTCTCAGATAATCAAAGTAAACTGTCCATTACATGGCTTACCCAATGACTCTTAGATAATCAAAGTAAACTGTACATTACATGGCTTACCCAATGACTCTCAGATAATCAAAGTAAACTGTCCATCACATGACTTACCCAATGACTCTCAGATAATCAAAGTAAACTGTCCATTACATGACTTACCCAATGACTCTCAGATAATCAAAGTAAACTGTCCATCACATGACTTACCCAATGACTCTCAGATAATCAAAGTAAACTGTCCATTACATGACTTACCCAATGACTCTCAGATAATCAAAGTAAACTGTCCATTACATGACTTACCCAATGACTCTCAGATAATCAATGTAAACTGTCCATCACATGACTTACCCAATGACTCTCAGATAATCAAAGTAAACTGCCGATGTCAACACGATGACATAATGACATGATGACATGACTTACCCAATCTCGTAATAATGCTGCAGTTCATCAACAAGAACAGAAAATTCCCCAAAAGTCACGTGATCAGCATCACATGGGCTGCCATATTCTACAGCGCAGTGAACCATCTCTTGAACTAGAAGACGAAAGCAGTCAAACTAGACACACTTCAGTTGAAATAGCAGTGATAATGGGTTCCATTCTCATCCAAATCATCATCATGTAGCATGTAGAATGTCACTCTTCTAGCATCATCATGACATGCTGGGAAGCCAACTGGTTACTAGGCAACCTTTCCAAACCTTGATATCATGTGCCCATACCTTCATGCTTGCTGGCCCCTGCTAGTCCTGACAGGAAGCATACCCACCATTACTGTTCTCCACAACTATATGGCATTTAATACGGCCAAAGTATTTCAGTTTATAAAGAAACTATGCCACATATGAGCTATCTCCTCTTTAAATTTTTTTTATAAACATGGTCGACTAAACTGTAAAAATCTTCTGGTAACATTTCAACAGTTATGACTACACAGCCCATGATTACAATCTATATGTTGCTACAGGAAAAGTACTGCTGGATATTCACAGTAAGATGTATGTTCATGCTGCATCACTATCATCATCACTCAGTAGGTTCTTCATTTATGTTGCTCTCATCTCGACACACCTAAAAGTCTCTCTTTCTCTAGCCAATCCTTCAGCAATATGTTCTTTCACAGCCAACATCTTCACTGTCTTGTATCCACATTTGCGGTGGTCTGCCTCTGCTTCAGTTTACAGGTACTGTACCCTCCGGCACCGCTCTCTCCAGGCCATCACGTTGTTTAATATAGTCAAAATATCTCAAGGAATTCCAGAAAAATTTGACTTAAAAGCTCAACAAAATGGGGAGGCAGAAAAACGTGAAAAAAACAATGTAACGTTTCGGCCGGGCAGCCTTTTTCAAACATAAGTGAACTACACAAACCTACACAAACGAGGAATGGAGAGTATGTAGATCTCTAAGGGGTGACGTGAGCAACGTTTAAAAAAATGCGATGTGGAATCAATTTTAAAAAAAAAATAGAATAAACGATGGTAATAAAATATAGTCACACACAAATAATAAACAGTAGTATTGTTAATATATAATATGATACTGGGAATAAAAGAAATACAAATGTTAATGATACATAAATGATATTGATAAGAAATAGAACAAAGTAATAATATGAAATGAAAGAAAAGAAAATAATTAACATTTGAAATGTGATAAGAGTAGAACTATTTAGATGAAGGTATGTTGGATATTGATACCACCTGGACTAAGAACGCCTAAGCTGTGGATGAGGCGATTTTTTGTTTTTGTGTGACTATATTTTATTAGCATCGTTTATTCTATTTTTTTTTCATTTATTCCACATCGCATTTTTTTAAACGTTGCTCACGTCACCCCTTAGAGATCTACATACTCTCCATTCCTCATTTGTGTAGTTCACTTATGTTTGAAAAAGGCCGCCCGGCCAAAACATTACGTTGTGTTGTTTTTATGCCCGTTTTTCTACTTCCCCATTTTGTTGATCTTTTTAGTCTAATGTTTCTGGACTTCCTTGTATAAGCTTGACTGCAGTCACCCCAATAGTTTCATCAAAATATCTCAGCATCCAGGACAAGATGCTGCTTATGAGCCAATTCTCCCTCCGTTGAGATATGGATATCTAAGCTGGATGGCAAGGCACATGATGATGTTGAAGATGACGAGGAAGACAGATGACGACATACTGACAGTGTGACCTGACCTGTCTGGTTCAGAAAAATGTCACCTAATAATCAAGACACAGTATGCCCTGATGACATGAAAGTGGGTTTTTACCCATATTTGTACTCACCTCTTCTGGGTTCTCAACTCATTTGGGTTCTCTTGTATATCGCGGAATGGAGGTAAAGCATAATTTATGTGAAAGTGCCCATTTCTGCTCTTTATAAATAGGGATTCCCGGGGATTCTGTTATTCTCTCTGTCCATCGTTTGCATGGTTGACCTTTTCTTCACTGCCCATCCGATCCGTACATCACTGCTTGCTGTGGTATACTGTTGCCCTCTGCCTTAAATGGTAGAATCATTTAACTCATTTTCTAATGAAATACAGAGCTGCAACTACACCGATTTTCCTTTGGATTTCATCATTCCTGATCCTCTCTTTTTTTTAAAATATATATTAAGAGCCCTTCACAGGATTCTAATTTCAGTTGTTATAATTCTTATTTTCTCTCTTTCTGTCACTGTCCAGATCTGGCATTGGTAGCACAGGGTTGGCAAGAAGATTGTGTTAACTGGTAACTACTGATATATAATTACTCATGCGCGCTACTTGGAGCAAACCTTAATATTCAGATCCGCTGGATTGCTGCGGTCCTGTTCCAGAGAAAGATTGTACTAAGATGTGGTAGCTGGTCCTCAGAACCGCAAATGATATGTCCAGGCTTGCCACAGGGATCACCGCTATCACCAGTCTTATTCAACGTTTATACGGTGATGATCACTGAGCAGCAGTTGAATGGAACGGGAAGGACTTTGTCATTTGCTGATGACATTTTGATTTATCGACGAGGGCGTGATAGACAGGAGATCGCCAGCACTATGCACAAAGAACTCGATCGAATTGCCGCCTGGTGTGATGGTTCCAATGCCTATGTCAATCCTTCGAAGGCATCAGTGTCATGGTTCTCTTTGAACAATCACATTGTCAAGTCGGACTTACCAGAAGTGAAAATGCGTGATAATGTATTGATCAGAACCAACGTTATGACGTTTCTCGGGGTGAGGTTCGATCGCAGCTTGTCATTCAGGCAACACGTTGACCATGTGATAACAAAAGCACGCAAAGGTCTATCTGCAATGAGGATTATGGCTGCTTCCAATATTGAGCAAAGACTACTAATACTTCTATTCTACGGTCTGGTCCTTTCCCCCATTGAATACGCTCTGGCCATCCTCACTGTCAGTGCTACCCAGATTGAACGACTCGAAAAGGTGCAAAATGAAGCCATGCGCATTATTTTGGGATGTACTAGAGATACATCCTGTGGAGCAATGAGGTATCTACTTGATTTTCCAACAATGAACCAAAGGATCAGGATGTGGAGGGCTCGGGCATAAATCAAAATATGCGCTGATAAGAAACACCCACTGCATCAAGCGCTTTTTAGTGAAAAGGGCGACAGACTGAAGAGGGGGAAATCGTGGCTAGGTCCGGCAGAAGATATTATTAGGCAAATATGCAGCCTAACCGACATCATACCTGGTGCAGAATGGATACCTGTGCCTCAGGCGTTTATTTGTACATTTTCCTGTATTGTCACACTCAACAGGCGATGCAGAGAAGAGAATCCTGTTGCTGTTAATGCAGAGGTCAGCGCTCTCATCGGTGAAAATTCAGACAAAGCAGATGCAATAATCTATACAGACGGATGCGTTATACGCCAAAGAAGAAGCGCATGGGCATTTACAGCACGCTCAGCGGGCAGAACAGTCAAAGAAGCCAACGGCGCCTTCTCCATGACAAACAGCAGCATGACGATGGAGGTGATGGCAGTGACACAAGCGCTTGTCTGGCTTGAAACACAAAAATACACCCGCGTGTGTATACTCAGTGATTCAATGAGTATGATCCGGAGGATTCAGGCAGGTTCATTGCGAAGACAATGGCTTGAATCATTACAGAAGTAAGTCAAAACACAATACAATCACAAGGTCACTATAACTTACTTTGAGAATGTGAAGGGTAAAGGTCAAGATCAATAAAGGCTTTCCTGAGATTGCTGGATTGGATTCTGTCATTGTTGTCATATTTCTTGAACACAGAGTACAGGTTTCTGGAACAGCCAGTAACAATTCTGTCAAAGGCTTGCATACTGAAATAAAATCTGTAACTTCTAATTTGTTTAACCATGTTGAATTAAGAATAGACATCACAGCACTCAGGACACTCCAAAAAGTGCTCAGTCCCCTATCTTCAGCAGCAAGTGAAGGGTTCCAATTCCGATGGTACCAGTAACCGTCTGATTGTATATGTGTCTGATCCTTCCCCTGAGTGTTGTGACTACGCCTTTCTATACTCAAAGATAAACCCAAACTCACAATCCTGAAATCACCAACTTCATTACTGTGCCACTTTAAGCCCAAGGGTAGAAGAAGAACAACCAAACACAACAGTGAAATACCTTTATACCCCATGGTCCATGATGCAAGACTGCAAAGTAAACTAAAGGTCCATACCTCTAGATTATTTAATTCTATATATAGAAAAACTGTTGCTAATTAATGTGCTGATGTACTTAATTCTTTACCTGCATTATTTACCCATAGCTAATGAACACCCAAACCCCATTATATAACACAGACAGCACATGTTTTATCCCCTGATTTTATCAGCAGGAAAGCTTCACCATTTTATAAAACAATGTGACTGGCCACCAATAAACCATATGAACTGGTGAGGTTATTGTATATCTACAGCAACTGGAATGTTATCTCTGGGGATCTAGGTCAACTTTTATCAGGGTAAACTCATGTTGGGAATGCACACTTTGTGATCTGATTGTCATTGCTATTTTTATAAGTCCTACGGCATCTGTGGTTCTGCTCTATTTATTCCCTCACCATTTATCAGCTCCTTTTTCTTTATCCTTTATTATAATTTGTTCTTCCTTTTCATGAACTCTAGCATCCTTATGATCACTCTTCCTCAAGTATTATCATTTTTGTCACAATAACCATTTTCTTCCTACTCCTCTTCCTATTCTTGTCTTCATCCTACTTCTTTATCTTAAAGTGTGATTTCTTTATGAGCTTGGACTTTATGTTATTCTGTTTCTTTCCAACTCGTTGTTGACAAATAAAATTAGGATGGAGATTATAGGTGGAAGAGGCAGGAAATGAGGAAGAGATGCTAAGAAAGAAGCTCAAAACAGAAACTGATGGAACATGTGCCACAGGAAATATGTTGTTGTTGGCACCTTTCTGTCTTTCCAAACGACAGTGTTATAGCGTGTTACAGGGAGTTAAAATAATCACATAGTTTCTCAAAAAATGGAACCTTAGTACCAGTCTGGGAGTAAAGTCTTGACCCCAATGTCGCTCTGATTCAAGCCCTTATCAGGGCCCCAAATGACCTAAGTATCAGTGCTTTTAACTTTCAGCACCACCTAGAATTTTTACATTACAGCAGTTAAAGTTTGCGTGTTAAAGAGTAGAAATTTGGCACTACACGTCAAGCTAACAATCTGGTTATAAAATAATGGGTTAAAGTAACAAATGTCTGCAGAAGGACAGTCAGAAACAAGGATGTTTTCTCTGAGCTAACTAATGAACATACGACCAGCTGCTTGATACAGAAAGAGGGCTATCCTCCAAATAACGGTCCCAAATTATCGAGGCCGAACATATACCCTAACAGGGTCTCAGTCACATGTAAATTGCGGACCTCTTTCCGGCAACTATACTGCCACCGCCGAGAGTATCTCCTGCGCCGCTACGCGCGACGAGGAGTGGAGTGGGGCTAAACTAGATGGCTGGGACTCATGAGCAAATAAAATGAAGGAAGCTGTAGGAGATGCGGTAACTGCTGCTCTTGAGTCCCAGCCGTCTTGTTTAGCCCCGCTCCAGGCCACACGTAGCGGCGCGGGAGATACTCTCGGGGGTGACTTTAACTCAGGGGAAGCTTTTCTGCGGTATGCTGGGTAGTCGCCGGAAAGAGGTCTGCAATTTACATGTGACTGAGGCCCTGTTAGAGTATATTTTCGGCCTCGATAATTTGGGACCGTTGTTCGGAGGATAGACCGGAAAAAGCTGCAGTCTTAAAAAGTGTGAGGATCGACTTTACTGCACTAGATCCTACTTGGCTCCGTATCTCCCTGCAGAGCAACTGTTCACATGCCAAAAGAGTTATACAAGATACACACAACCAAACTGATGACCACTGTGACCTCCCAAACAACTGTGTTCATGATAAGAGTTATGGTGCAGACTTCTGCATAATTGTGTAGGTTGTCAACCAGTTGCCTTTCTATCCCAGGACATTACATGGGACCTATTTTAGGCTGGGTCAACCTGGCAGCCAAGGTCAGTTTTTTACACACACAAATGCCCTGATGCAGATTTAAACCTAAAACCTTATGGTCGGCAGGCCAGCATCTAACCATTCTGCTTAAGTAGCAGTAGCAGTTTAATCAAAAAATCTCCCGTTCAGCCCTTCTGTGTTATGACTAGATAATATAGTTTCTGTCTCTGCGCGCTCAATAACATTTAATTACAATTTATGACGTATGTGGATAACTACGGAGTTTAAGAAGAGCAAGACAATGATAAACAGAATGAATGAAAGTATGAAAGCCGTGTTAAGAGTGTTCAGTGACATATTACATTATAATCTAACAGACTCGGAGTAATGACAGGCATCACTAGAAGTATTTACAGTGTTTTCCTTACATGATTAAAACTTCTAAAAGTCGAGAAAACCGAAACTTTACCGTGTGTAGTTCCCAAATATTTTACCGCTGCTGCTGTCGTCCGTCGTCTGCTTGGCTCTCTCCATCTTTCGGCAGCTGCCAGCAAAACCGAACAAAAGAGCAAATCACGAAGACTTCAGCTCTGCTACCGTAGTGTTCTGTGTATAACCATAGCTGAATGTGTTTTCTGTTGAATAGAATAAACAAAGAGACTTAGCGTAAGGATGGAATCATCCTGGTTTGATATTTGTTATATTCCGTGTTCACTCCGTCTCACGGGCCATAACTTGCAGCTGCTGGGCTGCTGAAAAACTTGGACATCTCGCAAGGGAACAATTATACACGAACTAACTATGTGAACTAATAGTATACTTAGTAAGCAAGTGTACTAATATGCACGGTCACAACAGTTATATTGTATGGACTGTGATTACATTTACAGTATGTTCATTCTTTATTGTCATGTAGATAGTCACGAGGCGGGAGAGCTGGCGAGAGACCAAGTTAGGCATACCGTGATGAGAGCGACGTTCTGCAAAAGACCTGTTTCATGATGATGAATCCCGAAGCCATTGAAACTGAGATGATCTTTGTATGGTATTGGAAGTGGGATTAGGTAGCTATGTGTCCAATACAGGAGTACTGAAGCTGTTATGATGCTCTGGTTGAAGTGAAAAGCCATCTCCCTCAAATCTTCATCACTCATGATCTTCATTTTGACATTACTGACTTCTTCTGGCCCCGGTGCATTGTCTTTTGATTTCTACTATATATATTTTATATCCTACACCCTAATGATATCCTGAAAATAATTATCATAGTCGAACACATTATCTCCACCTGAATTTTTTACGTCCCCTATTATTATGATCAGTTTGGGCTAATCTCTCCAAAAATGTCCCCCCTTTTCCTTTATATGTTGTAACTTGCATATCATCAGTATATTTAATTCTTGTTATAATCCAATCCTTCCTTTGTATCTGTCCGTGAAGTTTCCAAAACCTACCCAGAAATGTATCTCCTCCAATTTCGATTATAAAATGTTCTTATTTGGGTATTTTCATTTTCTGTACAGCGCTTAAACTCTTCTACTTTTTTTTTTCTAACGCTTTCTATGTTCTCTACATTCCCTTTTAACCTGTGAGGTGTCTTTCACACTTTCTGTAATTGTTTAACAGCTGCTAGCTTCGCTCTCCATGCCTGTTCTACTTCTTGGGGCCACCATGGAGGCTGCACAAAAGCAGAGGTAGTGGTTCTGATGCATACATTCTGCCGAAGGCGTCCAAGACCCTCTCATACTTAAAAGTCTTGCGCGTTCTCACAGCCCTGACCTTGTTATCGTCGCTCTCATCACAGTCTGCCTGAAAGAAACTCGGTCTCTCGCCAGTTCTCCTGCCTCATATACTTTCATACTCAAGGAGTCACTTATATCCTGTGCCTATCTTCGTGTCGGTCGGCCCCTGCCTCTCCTTCCTGGTACCATCCCTTCTGCTATAGTTTTTTCCAATCTGTCGTGGCGCTTGATATGACCAAAATATTTCAGCTTCTGAGAAAGGATGCTATTTATTAGCCAATCTTCATTGATGTTCCTTGATATTCAGACACACACACACACACACACACATATATATATATATATATATATATATATATATATATATATATATATATATATATATATATATAATTTGAAACTGAGTTACGTGCTGACGGCGACACAGGCGGACAATTCGTATCAACTGTCCGTTGGCAGAGCACTTATGGTTTATAACCGTGTGTAATGACGCTGATTCACATCTCCCGACTTTAGTCTCAGACAGATTGGCTGGATCTGCACCACTGGGAGGTGAATTGGTATATGACAAGGCAGATGTGGCCAAGGCCCTTTGGGAACAAGCAAGGGGCCGCGTTGGCGTAGTCGATAAGAGGCTCGTTTTCAAATCCAGCTGCGACTCGCTGCAGCCCACGGTCTGTTCTCGAAACCGGGCTGTTCCCGGGATTAATCCAGCCTCTTGGAAAAGGATATCAGTGTTGACACTCTGTGGTAAATGGAGGAGCGTCGCTGTAGCTACAGAGTTACGTGCTAACGGCGACACAGGTGGACAATTCTTATCAACTGTCCGTTGGCAGAGCACTTATGGTTTATAACCGTGTGTAATGACGCTGATTCACATCTCCCGACTTTAGTCTTAGACAGATTGGCTGGATCTGCACCACAGGGAGGTGAATTGATACATGACAAGACAGATGTGGTACAGGCCCTTTGGGAACAAGCAACGGAATCAGTAGAGAAAGAAGATAATTATGGCCTAGAGTGAATGAGGCACCTGGGTGTAACCAGAGGGCCTGTCCGGCTCACTACACTCATAGGAAAGGCAAGACGGACATATAACGAGATTGTAGCCGGTGCCATCAGTATTGGAACTCTGTGCTGGCTGCTGAAGATGAGGACGGAACATGCATGTGAATGCCCCGAGTGCTGTGATGTGAATTCTTGACTCAGCTCAACTCAACTATGTACCTGACATACAGAACATGTGTCTTCTGCTGTTGTGAAATAAGCCACTCCAGCTTTATTATGTTTCCGTATATTTATGCTTGAGAATTACTTTTGTTTATGTAATAGTGCATAGATTTTGTGTTAATTGTAACAGATTGTATTGGCATAGATTGTTCAGTTTAAAACATTTTAAGTGTGCGTTTGAAACAAATTGTAACCTCACCTCTTGAGGTCAATGACCTAACCTTTTGAGGTCAAAGGTTATGTCTGCTAGTGACGTTCGCTGGGAGTTGTGTTTGATGGAAGTCACCGACTTGTTGTCTTGTCTTCCTCCTAGCAGAGCATAACCGGGAATGGAGACACTTGTGATTGGTAAGGATCGTTCAAGAACTAAAAGAGGACAATTAAAGTCATAAAACCCTGCGTCAGTAAACGAGATAAAGTGTGATACATATCAATATCTCCTCCTTTACGTTCGGTTTCGTATGCTCAGGTCAAACGTCAGGTGTGATCCGATGTCAGTTGCAGATCCTTTACAGTCTCCCATAGCTTGCTCTGTACACTTTGCTCTTAAAGTCAGGTTTCTGTTAACATTTCTGTCATTAATATCAGAATAATACCAAGACGTCTTGAGACAGGAGAGACAGTAACAGTCCTTGAAATGAGAAGCAAAAAGGAAAGGCAGTAGTAAACCATTTACTATTTGCTTCCCGTGCCATTAATATTAACTGTATGCTAAATGGTACACTAGTTAATCACAATGCAAATAGTTTGCATGCAAAGTAAAGTACAAGGCCTCTTTCCAGGCCATTGGGCACATGGAGCATTAGCACTAGATCTATATTTTATAGACCAATCACACTCAGTGGGTGATATGGTCAACGTCAATCTGGTCGCCTTTACTTCCAGGATTTAACTCTTTCAGGCCCATGAATTTTGACAGACTTGGCCCACATTAATTTCCCTTTCAAAAAATGGCAGAAGGGTGGGTGTACAAGAAAGGCTGTAGAGGCTGTAATATACTTCTAATCCCTATAACAGTATATATTTTTTAAACGAGAAATGAGTGTACATTCTGAATCTGATGATAAGTATTAGTTTGATTTTGTTATAGTTAGTGGAAAAGAAGAATTCAGCAGGTGTTAATTTCACAAGGACAACATTTCACAAAAAAATTCTTCACTTACTATGGTTTTGCAGCCACAAGAATAGTAAATATCCAAATTTTAGAACAAAACTTCGAAGTTTGTTCAATTTCCTAACATATTCTAAAGTTTTGATAACTTTCTGGGTTAGTTTAGCACTCAGGGACTATTAGTTCCCACCGAGTGCTAAGCAAAATTTCAGAGAAAAAATGGCAGAAAAATTAGCCATAACACACACTATTTACTATTCTCTTTGTACAGTTATTTTTCAGACTGAAGCTGCGATGATTTCAATGTAGCTTAGCCATAGTATAGTACTATCTCTTTGTTTAGAGCACTTTCCTTCTCTTACACTATAAATACGGTACTATAGGACATTGTCTGTGTAACAAACTCGTCAGAATCGCTAGATTCCGAACAGCTGATCGCTCAGCTTCACTGGTCAAAATTCATTGTCGGAATCACTTTCCGAAAAATCTAAATTTTTATTATCATATACACATTAAAAACATCTGACTGAAACAATTTCAGAGCTTCGGTCGCAGAAAGACGCATTTTGCGACCTGTTCTTGTAGTTAGAACATTGGTATTCAGTGCACTCAAAAACGAACTTAGAAAATGAACTGTCAAAAAAATTTCGATGATTTTTTCCTCTCTAATTATCCACGTGTGGTTTAGTCCAAGAAATAAAACTTAAAGGATTTCGGCAGAGTGACCTTCCCTGAATAGGTTATGTGTACCTCCAAACATTAGAAACTAGTACGAACGCGCGTGCGAAGCAAAATGTAAGAGACACGCAAGTGACGATAACACCGTTGTTTGGGCAGAACGGAACTTCTCAAACTACGCTCACACCGTTGTTTGGGCCTTAAAGAGTTAACTTGTACCCATTTAAATATGCCTCGACCTGGGAGCCAAGATCATTTTTTTTAAATCCAGATTTGAACCTACTACCTGTTTATTTATAGGCATGAAGAAGCACACATCTGACTGTAACGTTTTCACTAGCTCCCAAACATGTTTTACCCACTTGGCTCTATCAGCTGATAGATTAGATTGCACACATCTGACTGTAATGTTTTGACTAGCACCCAAACATGTTTTATTAGATTGCACACATCTGACTGTAATGTTTTGACTAGCTCCCAAACATGTTTTACCCACTTGGCTCTATCAGCTGATAGATTAGATTGCACACATCTGACTGTAATGTTTTTACTAGCTCCTAAACATGTTTTATTAGATTGCACTCATCTGACTGTAATGTTTTGACTAGCTCCCAAACATGTTTTACCCACTTGGCTCTATCAGCTGATAGATTAGATTGCACACATCTGACTGTAATGTTTTTACTAGCTCCTAAACATGTTTTATTAGATTGCACACATCTGACTGTAATGTTTTGACTAGCTCCCAAACATGTTTTACACACTTGGCTCTATCAGCTGATAGATTAGATTGCACACATCTGACTGTAATGTTTTGACTAGCTCCCAAACATGTTTTACCCACTTGGCTCTATCAGCTAATGGATTAGATTGCACACATCTGACTGTAACGTTTTGACTAGCTCCCAAACATGTTTTACCCACTTGGCTCTATCAGCTGATAGATTAGATTGCACACATCTGACTGTAATGTTTTGACTAGCTCCCAAACATGTTTTACCCACTTGGCTCTATCAGCTGATAGATTAGATTGCACACATCTGACTGTAATGTTTTGACTAGCTCCCAAACATGTTTTACCCACTTGGCTCTATCAGCTAATGGATTAGATTGCTCTCAGCATGCCCTCCTTTTAGGCATAGTTTTTTTTCCAGGTATACTGTAATAGACACTTTGTGGTGAGTGCTGACACCTTTTTAGACACTTTGTGGTGAGTGCTGACACCTTTTTAGACACTTTGTGGTGAGTACTGACACCATTTTAGACACATTGTGGTGAGTACTGACACTTTTTTAGACACTTTGTGGTGAGTACTGACACTTTTTAGACACTTTGTGGTGAGTGCTGACACCATTTTAGGCACTTTGTAGTGAGTACTGACACCATTTTAGACACTTTTTGGTGAGTGCTGACACCATTTTAGACACTTTTTGGTGAGTGCTGACACCATTTTAGACACTTTTTGGTGAGTGCTGACACCATTTTAGACACTTTAAGTACCGTCACATTTCTTTCTAAAAAAAAAAAGCCCTGATTTCACACAAACAGACCCCCCCCCCCCCCTCCCCCCGCCCCCAAACACATATATATATATGTTCTCCTACCTACCTATTTTATCTGTGTGTGTTTATCTGTGTGTCTGTTTATTTACCTAACTGGGGGACTGTCTGTCATTAAAATAATTCTGTCATTGCTCATGCACCAGAAGGTTTTTCAAATGATGAGACACACACCAGAAAATCACCTGACCAAGCACTCAACATGTAGTGTAGAGGTTAGGACTGTTATTTTATCTTTGATAGATAAAACTGACTTTACAGAGAAATGGACCCCACACCTCAGGTTGTGTGAGGTGACCATTCTGACACCTAATCTGAATATGAATCTGATTGTAGAAAACAAAAATGTCAAGGTTAGTCCTCTTTAAGCCACCCGAGGGCCTGCTATATTAAGGACTGTTTCTTGGCTATCTTAACCTGAATTCAGTTTCTTTGTGGCGTAAATGATTTCACCTGATTTTTTTTAAAATCCTTGCTTCAAATCTGACACCTAAGTTACCAACACCATATTTATAGTGTTTATGTATCCTGGATAACCTCTTAAATAAATTGTTTGTTTGCAGAGCTATAATTATAGGCGCATAGAGGCATGCCTCAAGTGCTATGACATCATTGTTTGATGACATCTGACACATGAAGGACAGATACTAACAACATCCACCCGTCACCATTTTTATGAGATGCATTTTTCTCGTATGATGGGTGGCTCAGCGATCAAGCTTGTGACTCTAGATGTCACTAACACACTTATCCGAGTTGTCAGGTCACCTGGGTATCAGTACGCTTACATTGGCCTCAAACATGGATTGGAATTGGATGATCGTGTCCTTACAGGTAATTTCATACTTTACTGCCTGCAGTTTTTCTTCTGTTGTGTCCGTCAGTAACACATATTCAGTTAATAAAATGTGGTTAATTCCAACAGAGCACAGTATATCTAAAATGTCTTTGCACTGGAACCCACAGGGACATAAAAATAAAGTAGATCAAAAACACTAAAGAGTGAAATTAAACATATGGGAAGGACATGGGGTGAGCTATAGACAGTAACATCGGGTAGAATGATTTGGTTGAAAGGCTGTGCTCAGTTGGAGGATAGAAGGCAAAAGAAGAAGATTCTAACAGCAGAAAAATTGAAAAACACCTATTGACAGAAGAGATTAGTTTTTTTTTAGAAGAATGCACAGAACATCAATGAATGAAAGAAAAACAGATGCAGCAGTTCTCCTGGAGACAGACGAAACTCATTCACTGATTAGAGAAATTATATGCAGATATCAGCGCCATGGTGGCTTGGACAAGACGGTGATGGAGGATACAGTTTGTGGAAGGTGAGGCAGGGGTCGATCACTGCGAAGATGGATAGTGGGCATTGAAGAAGCATTGGCATTGAAAGCACATGGGGCTGGAGAGCTGGCTAGGGAAAGGGATACTTTCAGGCGTGCCGTGAAGAGAGCGACGTTATGTAAAGGATTTGCTGACTGATGATATGCAGACGGTCATTGTAAAGGACTTACTGTTGATGATATGCAGACGGTCATTGTAAAGGACTTACTGTTGATGATATGCAGATGGTCATTGTAAAGGACTTACTGTTGATGATATACAGATGGTCATTGTAAAGGACTTGCTGTTGATGATATGCAGACGGTCATTGTAAAGGACTTACTGTTGATGATATGCAGACGGTCATTGTAAAGGACTTGCTGTTGATGATATGCAGATGGTCATTGTAAAGGACTTGCTGTTGATGATATGCAGACGGTCATTGTAAAGGACTTGCTGTTGATGATATGCAGACGGTCATTGTAAAGGACTTGCTGTTGATGATATGCAGACGGTCATTGTAAAGGACTTGCTGTTGATGATATGCAGATGGTCATTGTTTTGTGGACATAGTGTGAGAAGGAATGGACTTGAGAACTTGGTGACGACTGGCACGATTGATGGGGAAAGATCAAGGGAAAGGCAAGAGATAAATACCTGGCTGGCTTGGCAATACCGATGGGGCAAGACAAGAGCTCTTATGTGACCATCTTAGCTTGGCAGGACACATGATGATGATGATACATTTCAGCCGTACAGAGACTTTCACGACAACTACACTTACACTTGCTCAGCTCTAACACTGATTGTATCAACAGTTTGAAATATGTGAGTGCATAGAAAAATGAAAAATGACCAAATAACATCACAAATTTTCAACCAAAGAAGCTCAGGATATAAGGCAAGAGGAAGACCAAGGAAACGGTGGATTGACGGGGTCTCCGAAACCTGCCAAAAGCATGGCCTCAGAACATCAGATGCTGCCCGCCTTGCTTATGACAGGAACTTGCATCTCCCCACAACGCTTAGCGGCATACGTGGAAGGAAAAAGTAAAGTAAAGTAAGTATAGAAAAATATGCCAACAACAATAGCTACACATTTGTTCTGTTTTATACTTTATCATTTTGAAATGTCATTATTATCTGTCTGTGACCCGGGCCAGACAACATCTCACTGCAAGAAATCGAAGCACTGGGAAATTTTGGAATTGAAATAATAACTAAACTTTAAAATGATATTTATAACAGTGGGTATATTCCAAATGACCTTTTAAAATCCATATTTATAGCTCTGCCGAAGAAACCAGGCACTTTAAAATGTGAAGACCATCGCACAATAAGTCTTATGAGTCGCATGACTAAGATTTTACTGAGAATAGTTATGAGAAGAATAAGAAACAAAATTAAACCAGAAATCAGCGATGAACAATGTGGATTTGTAGAAGGAAAAGGTACAAACAATGCCATATACATCCTAAGGACATTGTCAGAAAGAGCTATAGAAGTAAAGACTGATTTGTACTTATGCTTCATAGACTATACAAAAGCATTTGACTGTGTGAAGCATGAAGAAGTAATCAAACTGTTAGAAAAATTAAACATTGATGGGAAAGATCTAAGAATAATAAAGAATATGTATTGGCAGCAAACAGCAGCTATAAGAATCAACAACTGTTTAGGTACATTTCAAAGCATAAAGAGGGGCGTACGACAAGGATGTGTACTTTCACCTGATTTGTTTTCAATATACAGTGAATATATTATGAGATTTTTAATTGATATGCCCGGAATCGTGGTTGGTGGGCACAATATAAAAAATTTACGTTATGCTGATGACACAGTCTTGATAGCAACAAGTCAGAAAGAATTACAGGAAATGATAGACATTGTGGTGTTAGAAAGTGGAAGAATGGGCCTCAGTTTGAATAATGGGAAGACAGAAGTAATGGTGGTATCAAAGAAACAAATTATTCCTAAATGTGTAATAAAAGTCAATGGTGTTATTTTAAGACAAGTACAGAAATTTAAGTATCTGGGCACATGGATAACATCAGATGGAAGATGCATAACTGAAATAAGAAACAGAATTGGACAGGCAAAAACTGCATTTTATAAAATGAAAAACATCTTGTGCAATATATCCTTGTCATTGAGAGTTAGAAAAAGAATTCTTGCTTGCTACATACATCCAGTTTTAACATATGGATGTGAATCCTGGACAATCGGTAGGCAGGCCAAACCATTTTTAGAGGCCTCAGAGATGTGGTTTTACAGAAGAATGCTTAGAATACCTTGGACAGCCAAAAAGAGCAACCAAGAGGTTTTAAAAGAGGCGGGAGACCGAAGACAATTATCACTGACATCAGAAGGAGACAGTCATCATTTTTCGGCCATGTTATGAGAAGAGGGAAAATAGAACATGTTGTGACCACTGGAAAGATCTGTGGAAGGAGGGATAGAGGAAGACAGCGAGAGAAGATGCTTGACAGTCTTGTTGCATGGCATGGAGGTGTGTCGGCACACGAACTGATACATGCTGCAGGAGATCGCGGATTATGGAGAGGCATGATCGCCCACGCCAGTCGGCAAGGCACCTGATGATGATGATGATGATGACCTTTGTGGTTACTGTGATGCAGAGCTCTCCTCCCAGGAGTTAAAGTAGTTACAGAGATATAACAAGTCAATCTAGCAAGTGTTCAAGCCAGAAATACTTAGTCATACTTTTTTCCTGGTGGTATGCGACGGTACTCAGTACTGGCACCCTTTTTCAGCATTACCGTAACAGATGCTTTGTTGTGAGTACCAGCACCTTTCTTTCTTCTAGAAAAAAGTACTGCTTACGGTAATACCCGGCATAACAATTAAATGGAAAAAAGCTCAAATTAAAAAAAAACGTGTAAATAACCAAAAATGTTATGATGATATTTCTAACCAAAAAATGTTACGATGATATTTCTAACCAAAAATGTTGTGATGATATTTCTAACCAAAAATGTTGTGATGGTATTTCTAACCAAAAATGTTGTGATGATATTTCTAACCAAAAAATGTTATGATGATATTTCTAACCAAAAATGTTATGATGATATTTCTAACCAAAAATGTTATGATGATATTTCTAACCAAAAATGTTGTGATGATATTTCTAACCAAAAATGTTGTGATGATATTTCTAACCAAAAAATGTTATGATGATATTTCTAACCAAAAATGTTGTGATGATATTTCTAACCAAAAATGTTGTGATGATATTTCTAACCAAAAAATGTTATGATGATATTTCTAACCAAAAATGTTGTGATGATATTTCTAACCAAAAATGTATGATGTTAATTCTCAGGGCTGTTCTTCAAATACTACAAAGAATATTCTCGCAAGTATCCAAACTTTGGTGTTCAGTGCATGATTTCACCACACACATGGTGGACTGCACTAGTCAAGGACTGCTTTCGCAGTGCAGATGCACGCATACCTGAGGAGACCTTGAACTTGTTAGCGGATGATCTCTACTTTCATTATACCACAGCAAAGCCTTGGGAGCTGTTTCCTGGAGCAGTTGAGGCAATCAAAGTAACTAGACGTTATTGGTAACTTTTTATAACATGTTTTTAAAAAAAATAGTATCTTGTAGTTTTGTGTTATGTTGTTTTGTTAACAAGTAATTGTAGAGAACACACATACAGAGTCAGTCAGTAGCATGTCCTTTGCAGAACCTTGCACCCATAACAACTTTTCAGAAAACTTCTAAACACAACCAAGATGTCCTGCGTCTGATACACCCATCTAGAAATCATCCGCTACATCCTGCACCCATCTTCTCTTTGGCTTTCCTCTTCCTCTCTTCCCAGGCATATACCCACCCCTTATTGTTCTCTCTAAACTTTCCTGACGTTTCAAGTGACCAAAATATTTCCATTTTCTGTTTTATCATCTTTAACTCTTTGAGTCCCAGGGGGTTTAGCACAGGCTCAAGGGGTAGTAAAGAGAGGCATAAAATCGGTGCATCATGCGTTCATTGGGCCTCTAGGTGGGAATCTATGAACGTATGAGCGTTCCTTGGGACTCGAAGAGTTAATAGCCAGCCTTCTTCAGTATTCAGTTCTTGAGGTGTGGATGAATTTGTAGTTTTTTTAACCCATGATATTCTTAAAACCCATCTAAAGTGTTTGTATTCAAAGGCATTTATGTGCTGTTCAGCTTGTTAAGTAAGAGTTCAGGTCTCACATACAGAATAGTAACACAGTAATAGAAACAACACCAGTCATCAAATATACAATAGAGAGCCATGATTGCTGATACAAGGTGCGCCGCCACAAGGAAAAACACTGGGGACAAGGAGGGCTCTGATAAATTTCAGGGGGGTCCTCCTCAAGCCTTGTTTAATTGTGCAATAATAATTATAAACGTAGGTCCATTGAAATCATTGCAGAGCACAATTGAACATGTGTAACAGCAACATCCAGTGCCAGGGTGGAGACAGAAGCGGTGACTACAGCATTTTGGTGGTAGTTAGAAAGCATTCAGGAATCGCACTTAACCTCCCTCACCTGGATCTATACACATGCTGGCGTGAAAGGTAATGAGCTGACTAGCTGGCAAGTAATGTACCACTGGGTATGGAAAGAAGTATGGACAGAGCAGATATCATCAATGATGTACTGACTAGGTTAGTAGCTAATGTTGAATCTTTTACACTAACATGGTTGCATGACACGGTGAAGCACATCTTTGCTGCCCTCAAGGCCAAGATAGAAAACATTATAAGCAGATCCTCATGGGAACAATCAGTTAGATACCTTGGAGTGGCTGCTGCATCAGAGAACTGAGCATGCATGAATGAAAAAAATCAATGTGCAGTGACAACAGTTGTGATAACATCACATATTCATTGTTTCAGATTTTGTCCATGTTTGGTGGCTGTGGCAAAAATGGTCAAATTATATCGATTTTTCAACAAGTTCTAAGATGGATACATGTCCATGCCATGGCGAAGTCTGAATTAATGAGCAAGTTGATTTACTGGACCACAAGGAAGAGCAGACCATAGACAAATGACATACACTGTGTGTTACATAGATTTACATGAAAAATGACAAGTCAGTTTGACTAAGAAAGATCTAAATCAGTGTTCTTCAATTCCTTGGCCACGGCCCACCTGTGGGTCTTAAGAAAGTCCAGGAGGAATACTAGAAATGTCTGCCTAATCATGTAACGGGGTGTGGTAGGCAGTGTTTCTCTTCCAGGACTCTGATCTGTAGGGTTAACCCCTCCAGGGTGAGAATCAAACAGTTGCCAGTGATATTCAACATAACAAATCAGCCAAACACTTTGAAAATTATTTCCCTGAGAATGAGGTTTTTTGTACAGGGAAGCTTTTGATTAATAATCCCTTCTTAAAAGAAATTAAATTATGCGTGCTTGATTATCATGAAAAAGACAAACTGATCAAGTTATCTTCTGATATCAGCTGTGATCGCACAAAACGCAATTATTGTCTGGCACAAAACGCAAGTATTGTCTGTCTGGGATATCATTTTTTTTAAAATACCCATTTCTGAGTTACAGAACTATTCGATTGTTATTTGTTTATGTAAGTAATACAAACCAAAACATAGAAATCAATTGAATGTTATTGCAGCGCTTCATCTATCAGAACTAACGCTCCAGCCAGGTGTATCAGATTTTCTAACCTGTAAGCAGCAGAAGTCACATGAGCTAAAAATTTTAATTTTATGACTTGGGATTGAACAAATAAACTGCCTTCTACATTTGTCTTTTTCTGTGTTTGGTTAACTGCCAGATGGGCCGTGAAACCTTTCCCCTTTTTAGTGGGCCACATGTGTGAAAAGGTTGAGAAACATTGATCTCTGCAGTTTAAGAGAAGCTATGGGCCACCGGTGGCGACCTTAAACGCATAATCCTATTTGTGACCCAGACGGGACTCAATGTCTAGCATGACTGATGTCGAACGCAGAAGAAGAAGAAGAAAAATCTTTGCAGTATACATCTAGAAAAGACAAGAAAGAAAGGATACGAATTGCTCCAATAATGTGCTGGTTGTCTGAGGGAAGCCTGATTTCTTGTCTTGTAACTTTACTTACATTGGCTCCAAATCCAGTTTTCTGTTAGGACAGAATGTACTCGTCCTGATGTGCCTTGCGAGATACCATATTTTTCTGTCTGTAAGACGATATCTTTTCCAAATGAATGTATTTAAAATATTTTTTTCCTCATTCTGAGCTCGGAAAAAAAAAAAAGGGCTTGTCTTATACACGGAAAAATACAGTAACTGAAGTGTTGATGTCTAAGGTGATCAGTTGCCTGCCGCTGGGATTGAACTCAACACCTTGGAATTATGAAGCATTTTCTCAATATCTGTGTCATAGTTTTTTTATATAGTTGCATTAAATTTGTTTTTCAAACTTTCGTTAACTTGTTAACAGTCTTTGGTATTTACTCCGGCTGTCCAAGGTGTTTCTGACAGAAATTAATTTGTGTCAAGATTTAATTAAAGAGTTATTCAAATCTGATCGCTGTAATTTAACTATGAGTGCCTTGTTTCAAGGATCTCCGTCAGTATGCAGTGAAAATTGGAGTAATTTCCAACTGGGATCACCGACTGTACAAGGTGCTGGAGGCCATGAAGTTAAGGCCGTATTTTGACTTTGTGTTGACTTCTACTGTTGCTTGTGTTGAGAAGCCAGACAGTGCCATCTTTCACCTTGCATTACAGGTGAGCTCAAACTTTCAAGTGATGATGTCAGTAGGAAGTGACGGCAGACAGTCTAATGACAACTAGTGATGAATACAACATAACATCTGACTAGATAGCTCAACGGAGGGAATTGACAGGACGTGCACAGATATAACTGAACATTTTGACCAAAGTCTTTATCAACGGGCTTTATCCATTATCAGGTTTACCTGCTGATAAAGACGTTGGATAAGAGTTCAGTAGTATTTGTGCACATCTTTTTCATTTCCTCCAATTTGCTATCTATTCATTTGTTATGTTGTCTTTAACACTTCAAATGTTTAAGGCACTTTCATGAGACTGTTATTTTTGTGTCTTGTTTACTAGACACAAGAGCTGCAGTGGCCCAGTGGCCAGCATGCCTTCCTGCCGGCACACAGGTTATATGTTTCAATCTCAATTGAGACAGTGAGTTTTTAAAAGTGTTATCTAGTCTTCCAAGTCATCCTACCTGAAGTTGATGCCAACAAAAGTTCAATAAGTACAGATGACCAGGCAGGTAAAGCCCGTCAAGCATGGATTCATCTGTGAAAATATAGAATGCATCATATAAACTTCCCTATTTTCTACCCTCACACATAGAAGAGCTTTGTTTTGTTTTTAAAGGATTTCCTTTGTAGCTCAAAGACACTCCTATGTCATCTGCAGTCTCCTCCTAGAGATCACAAGGCAAGATTAATCTAAACATGGCTGACAAACTTTGCAGCATTTGACTGAGTCCAAAAATTTGTAGACTAAATGTAGATATAAAGCCATGGGTGTCCATGGCAAAGTTGCAAGCCATTTGCCTCTCACTCTAAAGGTCATGGGTTTGTTTTGTTTTGAGGTTTTGAACAATGAATCAATTTCATGGCTCATGGGTTAAACCCATAAGTGCTCCCTTCTTCTTCTAACTCGATCAAGTCTGAGCCCGAAGAAGCTCAGCACATCTGTAGCACCGACGAGGATTCTGAAATACTTTAGATAGATTTTTAACTCCACATTTTGCCCGGGCAGCACCGTCAGTCTACTCTTTATGATTTCCAACTGCCAAGGTTTTTTTTTCATGCGCAACAATGCACAAAGGCGTCCGATCTCACTACCCAGAAACCAGGAGAAATTACTAGAAGTCCACCTAAAAAAATTCCAGCCTTCACCGGGGCTTGAACCCGGGACCTCCAGCACTTGAGATGGATGCCATGCCTCGAGACCACGCAGCCTCCGTTTTTAATTTAAAATATGGAGTACCGTCCAGTACTTGTGACCGGTCTTATCCATGTTGATTATAAGGTTTTTCTGGACATCCTTGCTTCCTGAATCCATTTGTTTCCCATCTCTGTGCATGTTTTGTGATTCTTTATCCATTTTATCTCAGAATGTGCTAGTTTATAATGCCATTTTCATTCTGTTATAACAATTAATATCTGCGGTCAACTGAAAAAAAATATGATTTCATCTTCTTTTTATTCTTCTTTCCTCCTCATTTACTGCTTTGGGTGATATAAGTTCTTGCTGTTCTGGCCACCTGACCATAGACACATCATGCTGTTGTGGAATTTCTCTGATGTTATCTTTCCATCTTGTTCTTGATCTAACTTGTTTGATTTCTTCCTCAGTCTTACATTCATCCACCTTACTGTTTCTGCAGGTTTTTATTTTTGAATGCATTTAACTTTTGTTCCCTTTTTTTTTTTGTTCTTTAGCTTTCATTGGCTTATGTTAGCAGTGAGAAAATGTTAGAAATTAAAATATGTAACTTGCTTTTAAATTTGTATAATTCAAATTCCAACTGATTTCGCTTTGAGAATACATGTCTTCTGTAAATCCCAGTTCATTTTCCCCTCATGGCTTCTATCTCTACAGAATGCAGGCTGCCGGCCAGATGAAGCTGTCCACTTTGGAGATAATGTGGAGAAAGACTTTCATGGAGCCCATAATGCGGGAATGCGTGCATATCTTCTAGTTCCATCTGGTGTGCAGAACCTGTCCGTCAGTCCAAACCTGGTAGTTAACAGCGTGCAAGAGTTTGTCGACGTGATCCGACCTCAACTTGGTGCCAAAGCTGACCACACCGTACTTGAAAAGAAAGAGATTGTTTGACCTTGTATGTCTTTAGTATCTGATGTTGTTTGTGGAGAAAGACGTTGCTGTTGAGTTTAGGGTTCTGTTGTTGTCTTTTGTCAGAAGGGGTGATTCAGAAAGAAGAGGATGCTTGAGAGAGTTATGAGTGACTGAAAAAGAAGTAGATTAGAGAGAGTTGTGGGTGGGTGGCAGAGGAATCAGTTGCAGAGAGTTGCGTGTTTGAAGAGAGTTGCGTGTTTGAAGAGAGTGAGTTACTGAGAGATGAAAGTGAAATGAAAGTGGGATACGAAGAGCTGCAAGTGAAATGAAAGTGGGATACGAAGAGTTGCAAGTGAAATGAAAGTGGGATACGAAGAGTTGCAAGTGAAATGAAAGTGGGATACGAAGAGTTGCAAGTGAAATGAAAGTGGGATACGAAGAGTTGCAAGTGAACTTGAGGGAAATGGCTTTATAATGACTCACAAGTGTATTTTGAAGGCATTGGGTTATAGAGGGTTACAACTTAATTTGAGCGGAGTGGGCTACAGAGTTGTAAGTGAATTTGAAGGGAGTGGGTTGTGGGGAATTGTAAGTGAATTTAAAGGGAGTGGGGAATTGTAAGTGAATTTGAAGTTGGTGGGCTATGGAGAGTTGCAGGTGAATTTGAAGGGACTGCGGTTATAGAGAGTTGTAATTAAACCTTGAGGAGAGTGGACAGAGGAATGGTTGAAAGTGACTATGAGAAGCGTGGACTAGAGAGAGAGAGAGAGTTGAAAGTGACTTTGAGAAAAGTGGACTAGAGATTTGAACTATTTTGTCTGCAAGGCACTTAATGCTGATGTCGATGTAAAGATTACGATGGATACTCATTAATGGCTTCAGTCTTCTACCTTAGACCACACTTGGAGAATGTTGATGCAATGCATGAATCTCCTAGCACCAGCAATAATATTATGTCTACATGTGGTACATGGTAAAGTTCCTTAACCACAAAGTGATGACGGCCACTCCTGTCCTCTGTTTTGTAGAGGGGTGTTTATGGGTAAAGGTAGTATATAACCTTATTGTGTCCAACCATTTTTAGCAGTGGCTTAGAGGTTAGTGGATGCGGTTTATAAATCCTGATTCTTGAGTACTAAGGTTCGTCCCTTACAGTGGATGGTTTATAAATCCTGATTCTTGAGTACTAAGGTTCGTCCCTCACAGTGGATGGTTTATAAATCCTGATTCTTGAGTACTAAGGTTCGTCCCTCACAGTGGATGGTTTATAAATCCTGATTCTTGAGTACTAAGGTTCGTTCCTTACAGTGGATGGTTTATAAATCCTGATTCTTGAGTACTAAGGTTCGTCCCTTACAGTGGACGGTTTATAAATCCTGATTCTTGAGTACTAAGGTTCGTCCCTCACAGTGGATGGTTTATAAATCTTGATTCTTGAGTACTAAGGTTCGTCCCTCACAGTGGATGGTTTATAAATCCTGATTCTTGAGTACTAAGGTTCGTCCCTTACAGTGGATGGTTTATAAATCCTGATTCTGGAGTACTAAGGTTCGTCTCTTACAGTGGATGGTTTATAAATCCTGATTCTGGAGTACTAAGGTTCGTCCCTCACAGTGGATGGTTTATAAATCCTGATTCTTGAGTACTAAGGTTCGTCCCTCACAGTGGATGATTTATAAATCTTGATTCTTGAGTACTAAGGTTCGTCCCTTACAGTGGACGGTTTATAAATCCTGATTCTTGAGTACCAAGGTTCGTCCCTCACAGTGGACGGTTTATAAATTCTGATTCTTGAGTACTAAGGTTCGTTCCTTACAGTGGATGGTTTATAAATCCTGATTCTTGAGTACTAAGGTTCGTCCCTCACAGTGGATGGTTTATAAATCCTGATTCTTGAGTACTAAGGTTCGTCCCTCACAGTGGATGGTTTATAAATCCTGATTCTTGAGTACTAAGGTTCGTCCCTCACAGTGGATGGTTTATAAATCCTGATTCTTGAGTACTAAGGTTCGTTCCTCACAGTGGACGGTTTATAAATCTTGATTCTTGAGTACTAAGGTTCGTTCCTTACAGTGGATGGTTTATAAATCCTGATTCTTGAGTACTAAGGTTCGTCCCTCACAGTGGATGGTTTATAAATCCTGATTCTTGAGTACTAAGGTTCGTCCCTCACAGTGGATGGTTTATAAATCCTGATTCTTGAGTACTAAGGTTCGTCCCTCACAGTGGATGGTTTATAAATCCTGATTCTTGAGTACTAAGGTTCGTTCCTCACAGTGGATGGTTTATAAATTTTTATTCTTGAGTACTAAGGTTCGTCCCTTACAGTGGACGGTTTATAAATCCTGATTCTTGAGTACCAAGGTTCGTCCCTCACAGTGGACGGTTTATAAATCCTGATTCTTGAGTACTAAGGTTCGTTCCTTACAGTGGATGGTTTATAAATCCTGATTCTTGAGTACTAAGGTTCGTTCCTTACAGTGGATGGTTTATAAATCCTCATTCTTGAGTACTAAGGTTCGTTCCTTACAGTTTACGGTTGAAACAAATTATTCTCTTTTCAAACAGTGGTGTAAGAGTCACACTTTTGAAGAGATTGGGGCCTTACTGTGTAATATCCCCAGACAACAGTAGACCACTGTAGCCACCCGTCATTGTGGAGATGGCACAGACCTTAAATTTATCATTATATTTATTCTAAGGAAGTCGCGATGGTGTAGCAGCTAAATGCTTGCCTGTGGATCAGAAGATCTTGGTTTCAGGTCCTGATGGAACCGGTTTTCTTCAAAAATGACCTTGGCTCCCTGTCGACTCAGCCTTGATTGGGTACCAGGTGCTTTCGTGGAAAGTAAAGGCCGCCGATGTGATGTTGACCATATAACCAAAAGCCGATTGGTCTGTAAATTATAGGTCTAGCCCTATATGCCCAAATGCCTGAAGGCGGGAAAAAGAGTCCTTAAGATTTTATTTTTTTAAACTGTATTTATCCTAATATAAATTTATATTTTATTTCTTGTAATTGATTTGTTTATAAAGTAAACATTTAGTCCTGGTTATGTTTGTGTATTTTATAATAAAGTGTTGCTATGTTGTGATATGTGTTTGACTTCATTCACACCATGAAAATGAGAAAAGTGGCGCACATCCTGACACTGATAAAGTTAGAGGGGAAAAGAGGCAGAGGGAGACCAAGAGAGAAGATGTTGGACAGTTTGACACCATGGCATGAAAGACCAAGAATGACTGAAGGTACACAGGACAGAAGGCTGTGGATAGACATGACTACCATCGCCACACAGCATGGACTGTAAGATGAAATTTCACTTCACCTGTTAGTTGACTAAATGCCAATGTTCTGATCCCAGATTATCTGTACAGTGCTAATATATGTGTGTCTATGTCTCTGATACTTCTGCGGTCCATTTGTGCATGATCGACCTCTGGATCTGTTAAGGCTGTATGTGTATAACATTGCTCTCTGTGGTGCCCTATCTGATGTCAGTCTTGTTACATGGCCAAACCATTAGATTTGTTGTCTATCTATAAAGTAGAGTACTGGTTCTGTGCCGACTCTCCTCCTGATATCATCTTTCCCAAGTCGATCTGTCCTCGTTACACCTAGCATAGTATGTAAACATTTCATTTCTGCTCTGACTATTTTTCTTCTGTCTTCTGAAGACAGTGTCTATGTTTGACACTGATATCATAGTCTTGGTAAGAATGTTATGTTGAACAGTGTTCTTTTAGATTTCATATTATATTTCATTTTAAATCTGGGACCATTTGGCCTAAAACGATTGGCTTTATTGCATCTTTGCTGGATTTCTTTATTAACTCTTCCGTCTTCAGGAACAATGCGCACCAGATATGTAAAATCCTTCGCCTACTGTTTTATCCTACATGGCTAATTATCTGTCTGCAGAATGGCTGTTTTTCTGCATGAGCATTGTATAAAGCATCAACTTGCAAGCTCCAGCCATAAACTACAGAAATATCTTTGGTGTTGAACTTCTTTAACACATCTTCTACTGTTATCTACTGTTTTAAAGTGTTGTTGTTCGTCCATCACTAGTGATGAAGACTACTTTCATCCTAAGTAGTAAAGATTATGAGTACGAAGGTGGCTCATTAGTCCAATATGAGCCTGGAAAGTTCTTGAGCAGTGCGGAAAACAGATGGAAGCCGCAGTTAGTGTTGGATTAGCAGTACGATTCTTTCTAGTATGCCTCTGTTTCTCTGCAGGTACAACCTCCGCTGCCTGGCAGGCCAATGAACCATACACGAGGGATGTACGCCATACAGAACTGTCTTGTGCAGCAGCCTCCCACGTCGCTGTGTTGGTGCCAAAAGAATTGATAGCAGTCTTGATAGTGTCCTTATAGCGCTTTTTCTGTCCTCCCTGGGACCTCTTCCCTTGCTGTAGCTCGCCATAAAATACTCTCTTTGGGAGACGATAGTCTGGCATGGAGGCTAGGTGACCAACCCAACGCAGCTGATCATTCGTCAGTATTGTGTGGATGTTAGGAAGGCTTGCCCTATCAAGAACCACATGGTTTAGAATCTTGCCATTTAATTTTAAGCAGCTTTCTGAGAAAGGTTATATGAAACTGATTCAACTCTTTAGCATGACGCTGATACACAGTCCACGTTTCGCAAGTGTAGATCAGTACTGGAAGAATTACAGCTCTGTAAACCTTTAGTTTGGTCAGCAGGGAGATACCACTTCTGTTCCAGACACTTGTATAAAGTCTGCCGAAACTGTTGCTGGCCTTTGAGATTCTAGCATCGATCTCATCATCGATGTTGACTCTCTGAGATAGGGTACACAAGACACAAGCTACATAAACATCTTTGGTTTTGAACTTTTTTAACACATCTTCTACTATTATCTACCATTATGGAGTACCCAAATACTTTAACACATCTTCTACTATTATCTACCATTATGGAGTACCCAAATACTTTAACACATCTTCTACTATTATCTACCATTATGGAGTACCCAAATACTTTAACACATCTTCTACTATTATCTACCA